TCGCGACATCAAATGAAAACGTACGGAAAGGCGAAAAGGATGTGTTTATTGATAGAATATATAAAATTTGTTGATCTTGCAATATTAAAATTAATATTTCTTCTTTATAGGAGATAATAAAAGTATTAAGGGTATTTCTTAGGTATATAATGATGTGTCTTAATATTTAAGTAAATCTTTGAAGACCAATATTAATGCTACTGTACGTACCGTCGTTGTTCTACTATAATCTTACAATTTGATTGGTTGATCGGCCAATAAATCACGAGATGATCGCCAAAATCTAACCAATCACAATGAAAGTTCGCTATGCTACAGTTCTTAAATTAATATAGATTATATTGCGTACCTACTAGGTACACAAAAATTACTAGGTACATATATGTACTTTAGAAATGTACTGTACCTTACCCAATACTTAAAACTGTACCGTACCAAAAAGGATATTAACTAAAAAAAGAGATGTATTGACTGTTAAAAATTTATACAGGAATACTAAATCCCAACCTACTTCAATACCTATAACCAATTTGAATCTTTGTGCAAATTTAAATTAAAATTTTTATATTTAACACTTCATATTTTACATCATACACTAAATGGTTCATGTATACATAATCGTAAATTGGGCCTACTGAAATTTAAATATAAAACCCGTAATCCTTAAAATCTGCTGAAATTTTTAATCCGAGTAATCCTATTTTAAGTATATGGGTCGATTCGAAACCTTATATGGACCTTGACAATATCGATAAGCCTAAAATAGAGTACAATAAATCATCCAATTGGTGTTTGTGCTATCAATGATGTGATCCGGCATAAAAAAATATCTTTGTTATATAGATATATATATTGTATAATCTACATCTGGGTAGGGTAAGTACATGAAAATTGTTTAGGAATGCCCAGAGGGACAGGCTTTGGGCTAGAGGAATGCTCAAGCATGCCCCATAAATACATATATCTATATTTAGTAATATTATAATATTAACCAATAAGAAACATATCCAGTTAATATATATATTCTAAATATCAAATAAAAGGCATGGACAAGGAAGCGTGCCCAAGATACTCTATGCCTTCACCCTACATCTCGGACGTGTATTATGCCTCCATTAACATCATGTGACATTTCATACAAAATGTGCCCTAAAAAGTCAAGTTCGAAAGATCAACTCTTCCAAGCATTTTTTTTTTTAAAAGCTAAAACTCTAGAACAATTTTTAAATATTTAATATTTCATAAAGACTTTACATGAATCAATTTAATTGAAGAAAAAATTTTTCTGGAAAATTTGCAATTGTAATTTTTAAAATTTAATGCATAAATGTAATAAAGAATTTATGGCCAGGTGCAGGAAAACAACATCAAGTTGCTTATCACTGTTTTCAATGGTCTATACCCTATGTGATTAGCACTAATTGTAGCAAAATCGGTTGTCATTTTTTAGAGATATACCCCTGCATCCTAGTGATGTGATCCGTATCCGTTTTTTCATATGTATTTAACTGGTTTGAACCGGTTTTATATATGAAAAACGGGTATGGATCGCATCATCAAAATTTATTATAAACAATAGTAAAATGTTAATAAATTATAAGCTATCATAAATTTTGGGATGCAGGGGTATACACTAAAGAAAAAAGAAAAGAAAGCGAAAATACTCAAAAACTAATGTTTAAATCGACCTTGGTGAATTAATAAAAAATAACGGGAATGAAATTTTACATATAAGAAACTCCAACTTATTGCTAAAGTTCACAACCCTAACGTCCTAATCCTAAACTTCGATTTCCTTTTTGGTTTGTGTTACTCGCAAAAATAAGTAAATCGTGGTGGAACGCCTAAAACCAAAATAGCCACTTCTGCACTTCAATAGATAAACAGTATACGTGCATCTATTGTAGAAGTCAATGAACATAAAATACGAACAAGGCTGTCAGGAAATTCCGGAAGTTGTGATATGGTGTGCCATTGACATGCTGTGTGACATCAGAATATAGAGATTATGATTAAGGTTTTGTACTGTATAGTATGATACAGTAATATATTTTACAATAAAAGTTGCATATTATACAGTATGCTAATGAGACATATATTTTTTAAACCCTCACTGTACGAAAAATTTTAGTGTTACCGCACAATTGAGGTGCAGTCACATGATATTCCAACCTTAAAATTTCAGAAAATTTAAGAATTTTTTCAACCTATCATTTTTTGTGCTTTTATAAACCCTTTTTGAATATTACTTTTTTTGAAAAGAACTTATTTGCTTTTTAAGAAACAAAAACTACTACTTACCATTAGTATAGGATAATAGTTAATGTGTTTGAATTATGGTTCTCAAGAAACACAATAAAATTTATATAGTGAATTTTTTCTTACGTCCAGAATCGGTGGTTCTTTATGGAGTGTTGACTGTTTGTAGTATTTTCTCGATATGGGACGTCGTCAATCAAAACGATACATAGTTGGAGTCATTAATTTTATTAAAAGAAAAAAGTAATTGTATGCATTTGATTAATGGCACTTATGCATGACCTATTATTTTATCATTCTGTGTTACAATTTGTCGGTTCTCATTATGCATCGTTTTGATTGATGATATCCAATACCGATATAGGTTATAGTGAGAATAATTTATCGAGTTTTCTCTCTACTGTGTTATCAACATAGGGCCAACTTTTATATTTGTCAAAATATGAATAGCTAATGCAAATGAATGGGAATGAAGAATGAAACGTAGTACAATTTATCTTATATGGGTTCGTAGATAAAAATAATTGAGATCGGGAAGTTAAATGGGTATATATCCGATATTAATATACATAACGTACGTACGTAATACGCATGCATTATATTTATTACTGGTAATCACCGTACAGATCTTACAATGATCGTACGTACGCACCGTACTGAGTATATGTTACACGACGGTTCCTCCTGTTGAGTATATGTATACTTGAGTGGCATCTTGGCATGAAAATTTTTAGCTGCGCCACTCAAGACTTAAAAGATATTGCATTTCGCCTTTGCTCACTGGACTTTTGCAGAGTCCTTTCTAAAAGTAATTCAAAGAAATCATTGAACCTAAGATATATTTTTTTAAAAATTAATTTGAATATTATATTCTACTTTTAACAGGGTCCTAAATTATTTTTCACCATCTACATAAATATAATCATCAAGGCATCAAGTTATTTGTTACATCTGGTTTTTATTTATGATGACGTTTCACCCTTTTATTTTCGTGTTTATTTTTGGATCAGCTTTTATTCTCTTAGTTATCATTTTAATTATTCAGATTAATCCATTATCTTCACAATCTAATGATTTTCATACTCTAGTTCGTCGCAATTCATATGAACCACCTCCTATATCTGCTTCAACTGGAATTAGCGCACCAAGTGATGAAGAAATTACTAATTTCACACGGTTCATTACTTATTCATCAGCATCTTATTGTCCAAACTCTAAAACTTGGACTTGCGGACAATTATGCGATAGTATTCCACAAACCACTGTTATAACTACTATCACAACTTCTGACAATGGCAAGTTTTTTTTTTTTGAATGACTTTTTCAAAATTTCAAATTATTAAATTATTACTTTCATTTAGTTTATGGAATTATTACCGTTAACTCAAAATATCGAGAGATTGTTATCACTTTCCGGGGAACAAATATTGATAATAATGATTTTCAAAATGCAATTAAAGACATTGAGGGATGGCTAGTTTCATATGACTATACATCTAATTCGACCCCTCCTAAGTCCTGCTCACCTCCAAATGTCTGTGTTCACTATGGTTTTTACACCAGTTTTCTTGGCTTTCAAACAAAAATAAGAAATGAGATTACTACATTAATTAATAATGAACAATATAAAGATTATGAAATTATTGTAACTGGTCATAGCTATGGAGCAGGTCCGTGATTATGATAATTCATGATAAAAAGGATAATAATAAAGTTTTCATTTTATAGCACTAAATATTTATTTTAAATAGCTTTGGCTTTGTTTACCGCCCTTGATATTAAACAATCATTTAGTGGAGTTACCCCATATCTCTATACTTACGGTGCACCTCGGGTTGGAAATTCTGAATTTGCCTCATTTGTGAACAATAATTTGGTAGGTTCATCCAGCGTAATCAGCCTTTATGATTATAATTAATTATTTCTTAAATTACAGAATTTCACTACAAGAATAGTCAACCAAGCTGATTCAGTGCCTCATATTCCAGATTGTTGTGGATATGAACAACACCAAGGTGAAGTCTGGATTGCCAACACTGCTAAAAACGAAGTGGTTAAATGTTCAGGCAACCAAAACGAGGTAGGTTTGTTCGAAATTGTAATTTTTCAAAAATTTACTGAATTAATTTTTTAATTAAGCTTTTTCTTATAGCATTGCTCCGAGTCTGTTAGTTTTAAAGATTGGATTGCTGATTTTACTTTGCTTTTTATAAATGCAATTCCTTTTCATCGGATTCTTTTTGAAAGTCCTGATCATTATGGCCCATATTGGGGTATTCATATTGATGAAAGTTTATGTAAATAAGGTTTTTTTTTTGGTATTGAAAAAAAGTTAGACTTTTATATTGATTCTATATCATTTGAGTAATTATTTTTGAACCCGGACCAATTTTATATATGACGTAGTAACATTTTGGTCTTGAAATAATTACCAGTTTTATGATTTAGTTCACTATTAGACAAATCGGGCTTATTTTTGCTCTTTGCAAATAGTGTGACTCTATGATTACTATTTTTTTTTTTTGTGATTGCGGTTGCGATTGAAATTGCGATTAAAATTATATAGTTGTTATATTGCGCTTAGAATTCTTTAGAAAATAATAACGATATGTAGGTTTGTACATTGTTACAAGGTAAAGTAACCTGGCTGCAGTCATCCGAAAGTGTGATCTAAGCCATCATATTTTTGTATAGAATTACGTATGTAGAATTTTTATGTAGAATTATATAGAATTTTATGTAGAATTATATAGAATTTGATGTAGAATTATATAGAATTTTATGTAGCTTTATAAAAAACTTTATAAATCCAATGTTGGCTATTATATAAAATCTATATATACTTCTACATAGAATTATGTAAATAACAAAAATTAAATATTAAAACTAGAATTACATTTCTACTTAGTTTATTGAACATTAATTTCTTAGTCACTCCTAAGAAATAGCCAAAGTAAATTAAATTATGTTATATAGATATAAAATAAATTTACATAGATTTTATATTAGCATAAATAAAAATTTATATAATTATGCAGTTTATGCAAAAAAATTCTTATAAATAAGCCAACATTGGGTTTGTATATCTATATAAAAATTTTATATAACATTTATATAACTTATAGAGGTACATAAATTTATAAAAGAACAACTTGTAGATGATATGAATTGGGACTATATATGCGCATTAATCGACAAAAGTGAAGACATTTAATAATACTAATTTCGGAGCGAAGTTCCATTAAGAACTATAGGAAATCGCCTCTGGTGCTCAAATGGTGGAAACTAAATTCATAGTCGTGTAAATGAGTATAAATTACTCATTAATCATGGAATTTCCCCAATACTACAGTGCGGGACAGCAAAAAACATCCAACTTTTTTTTAGGGGGCGCCAAATTTGGGTTATGTAACACAATTTTTGATTGGTCA